GTAGTAGCAGCAGCAATACCAGTAGTAGTAGCAGTAGCAGCAGTAGCAGCAGCAGTAGCAGCAGTAACAGCAGCAGCAGTAGTAGTAGCAGCAGTAACAGCAGCAGCAGTAGCAGCAGTAACAGCAGCAGCAGTAGCAGCAGCAGCAGTAGCAGCAGTAGCAGCAGTAGTAGTAGCAGCAGTAGCAGTAGCAGCAGCAGTAGCAGCAGTAGCAGCAGCAGCAGTAGTAGTAGCAGCAGTAGCAGTAGTAGCAGCAGCAGCAGTAGCAGCAGCAGCAGTAGCAGCAGTAGCAGCAGTAGCAGCAGCAGCAGTAGCAGCAGCAGTAGTAGCAGTAGCAGCAGCAGTAGCAGCAGCAGCAGTAGCAGCAGCAGTAGTAGCAGCAGCAATACCAGTAGTAGTAGCAGTAGCAGCAGTAGCAGCAGCAGTAGCAGCAGTAACAGCAGCAGCAGTAGTAGTAGCAGTAACAGCAGCAGCAGTAGCAGCAGTAACAGCAGCAGCAGTAGCAGCAGCAGCAGTAGCAGCAGTAGCAGCAGTAGCAGCAGCAGCAGTAGTAGTAGCAGCAGTAACAGCAGCAGCAGTAGCAGCAGCAGCAGTAGCAGCAGTAGCAGCAGCAGCAGTAGCGCTCCCCTTGCTGCTCCCCTTGCTGCGGGGACAAAACGTGAAACGCAGCGGCGCTGTGACGCAATGCGAAGGACACTCCCGTCGAAATCACCGATGTGACATCTGCGCCGTGCGTCCACGGGAGGAAGCAGCCGTTACCCCGGAGGGGGCCGCGTCCCTGACCCGCGTACGGTCCTTTGTGGGGCCGCGTAAATGGAGGTGCGTGCACGGAATCACGTACGACGCGTACGTGATTACCAGAGCCACGTTTTGTTTGCATGTTCAACACACGTACTGTGTGCGGTCAACGCAGCACTTGATTCCTTGCGAAGCGTTTCTATTCGGTTGTTTGGACATCTTAACGGCCTCCTGTTTTATTGCCAGAAAGGGTAAAAACCTATTCTTATATTTATACTTTGATATTGTCAAAAAGGTCCCATCATGTGGCTGCTCATCCCGAGCTATAGGGGCTTCTGATCCGCGTGGCATTGTCCTTGTACTGGTCGCCTGTTGGCGTTCTCTGGCCTGACGCTGGTGAGACAAGGCCATAGAGAAGGCCGATGTCTCTGATGTAGGCCAATCAGTTTCAAAGACACTGCCGTCTATTATCAGAACCATGTTTTGTTTGCGTGGTTAATGCAGCACTTGATTCCTTCCAAAAGGGTTTCCATTTGGGTGTTTGAACATCTTAACGCCCGCCCACCTACCACCCCCCGTTTTATTGCCGGAAAGGGTAAAACCTATTTAAAAAGTCTTCATCAAATGGAACATTTTTAATTTAAAGCTTTCGTGACTGCAGGGATTCATATTCTTGGTTCTTTCGGTAAAGTCACGTAGAAGGGAAACAGTCGTCAGGTGATTGCTTGTGTTGCAGTCGAAACGTCGTGAGAACTTTATTGTTTTATATTTTTATTATTTTATTGTTTCCCTTCTACGTGACTTTACCGAAAGAACCAAGAATACAAATGGAACATGTTTCACGCAACAATCGAGGAATTCGTCGGCGGCGGAAGTTGCCCCGTGTCACAGGCGCACCGATCCGCGTTTCGCAGGTCAATCGCCCGTACCGTGGGATCGAGCAATCCCATTGGTTACTGTAGCGTCGTGCGAAATTCCCCCCCCCCCGCCCCGCCCCGCCCCCCCGCCTTGTTGATTTGATTTGCTGATATCCGCACGAAGGAGGGGAGGGGGGGCAGGGACACGCGACTCGCTTTGCTGCCCAATTCGTATCGTGTCACAGCGCCAAACGCCGCGCTCAGTCGTAATAAACGATGAGTGTAGCGACAATTATGAGAACGGCGATTCTTACTTCCTGTTGCGATCGTTGCCGTCCCACGGCGCCGCAGACCCCTTCGCGATGGCACCGCCGAGCCGAGGGCGGGAAGGGGGGGGTGGCCCGAGGCACGACGCTCGTGGGGTCGATGTGTCCAAGTGGCCGCGCTCAGGACACGCAAAGCGCTCCTTCGCTTGGCACAAACGAACGGCGATGCCTCGCCGCTGATCTCGTCGAGGAAACGTGCGGCGCGCCGGCGCCGGCGGGGGCGTTTGGGATAACCGTCGAGCAAAGACGGCTTTTGGCGAGCCGTCGGGACGGAGGACGGCGCCCATGGCTTTTGGATTGCGCGTCTGCGGCCGTCCGCAGCGCCCGCTCCTCGTTAAGATGTTAGGAAAGCCACTTTGAAGTCACGTCGGTTGAAAGCTCGCTTCCTTCCAACTGTTTTTTTTGCGTTTAGTTTCTCTTCCTTCCCGCGCACCTCCGATTAGCACGGTTGGCTACGTAGGGCGCGAAAGAAGTTCAACATGCGTACGCACATGCACCATACGTAGCCAACCGCGCTTATCGGTTGGCTACGTGGCACTGAAGCTACTTATGCTGCTGCTGATGATGATGATGATGCTGCTGCTGCTGATGATGATGCTAATGATGATGATGATGACGATGCTAATGATGACGATGCTGCTGCCGCTGCTGACGCCAAATCCTAAACATAGCAGCAAGGTTTTGGCCGTACGTCTGAAATTTTCTGTGCAGAGTCGAGGAGGAATTTGCAGAGGAGGGGCGGTTGAGTGGACTGGGCCTCAACCTGATGGTCTAATGGGTTTTTTTTTTAGTTTGGAAAATATTTATTTTCCACCCAACATTCGTTGATATCTCAGGAGCTGAGTTTGCTCCGGGTGGACAGCTGGGGACTGCAAGCGCGACCTTTGAACCTCGGCCGTGCCCGCAGCCGCCGCCGTTACCAACGCGTTGTCCCCGGCGACGGGGAGACCAGTCCGCCCCTGCGGCCTCCTCCTCGCCTTCCGTGGGCACAGCGAGCGGTTAATTACTCTCGGTTCTCTGTGTTTACGTCGTAATATTTTTTTCGTAAATATTTTTTTCGTCATTTTTATTGATTCGCTTGTTTGCCCGGGAAAGCCTCGTCCAGTCTTAAGACTCTTCTTCAGGAGGATCCTGCCCAGGTAGGTAGTAGGGGGGGTGGAGGAGGAGGGCGATGATCGCTGTTGCCGCCGCCGCTGCCACCGCCGCCGCCGCCGCCGCTGCCGCCGCCGCCGCTGCCACCGCCGCTACCACCGCCGCCACCGCCGCCGCTGCTGCCGCCATTGCTACCGCCGCTGTTACTACCGCCGCCACTGCCATTGCCGCCGTTGCGATCCCAGTTGAGTAATCGGCGGGTAATGTTTCCGCGTTGGGATCGTGCAGATGACTCCGGTCGCATTGGACGAAAGTGGTCGAGGAAGGTGGATCGACCGTGGCTGATGATGTCGGGAGCACGGGCGGCTGGGGCGAGGGAAGCGGGGAGAGAGTTTTTAGACAGTGGGGACAGCAGAGGAGACCTACCACCGAGCGAAGGGCTACTTGGGGGCTTAGACAGAAAGCCTCAGTTGCTGGAGCGGAGAGTGCGTGGAGGGGAGTGAGATGAGAAGGGGGAGAGGCAGGAGAGTGCGTGGGAGGGGAGTGGAGAGAGATTAGAGGGGAGAGGCAGGAGAGTGCGTGGGAGGGGAGTGGAGAGGGATGACAGAGAGCATAGCAGCATTGTGCAGACGAAGGTTTTCAATCAGTGCACATTGACGGCCGTGATACGTGGGTCGGAAACGTGGCCACTGACAAAGCACGGGGAACAGAAACTGAAAAGTGCGCGGAGAAGCATCGACGAGCGGCACGTTTGGAATAATAATCACACCGAGGGGTGCAAGGCGAGCGCTCCCAGCATTGTGGCTCTTGAGAGTCGATTCAGGTGGCTTGGGCAGGAGGCACGGCTAGGATGAGGCTGGAAAAAAAAACATCGGCTATTTTTTTTATTTTACCAGGCTCAGGCCCCACTGAGCTGTGTAGCTCTCTTTGAGAAGTGACTCTGGCTATCACCAAATGAAAGGTCAACGAAGTGGGCTCATCATCACGTGGAAATATACAGCAGCGGGCACACACTCTAAAACGCGTGATGTTGTTGATTCTAAATGTGGAGGGGAAAACCGGGAGGTGCCCGGAGAAAAATCCACACGACCACGGAGAGAGCGAGAGAGAGAGACACGCAGACTCCAAATATACAGCAGCAGCAGGCGTCAGGGCCTGGATCAAACTCACGACCTCCTGTATACCAGACGAGGTTGTTAACATCTCCCAGCCACCGTGGCGCCCATGACAGCAGAGCGGCAGCCAAAGGAGGGGGAACACGCCCCGAGAGGGAGATGGAGCGGTGATGACAAATAAATCGTTCAGTTCAATAATTTGTCAGGTAGGGAGATGGAATGGCTACGTCGCCCGGCGGAGGCCGAGTCTCTTTAAGACGTCGCTCCCCATGGGCCGCACGGAGCCATCGGAGACCAGGTGCCACTTGGGCCGCGAGACGTCGCCGGCGAAACGTCGCCGGCGAAACGTCGCCGGCGAAACGTCGCCGGCGAAACGTCGCCGGCGAAACGTCGCCGGCGAAACGTCGCCGGCGAAACGTCGCCGGCGAAACGTCGCCGGCGAAACGTCGCCGGCGAAACGTCGCCGGCGAAACGTCGCCGGCGAAACGTCGCCGGCGAAACGTCGCCGGCGAAACGTCGCCGGCGAAACGTCGCCGGCGAAACGTCGCCGGCGAAACGTCGCCGGCGAAACGTCGCCGGCGAAACGTCGCCGGCGAAACGTCGCCGGCGAAACGTCGCCGGCGAAACGTCGCCGGCGAAACGTCGCCGGCGAAACGTCGCCGGCGAAACGTCGCCGGCGAAACGTCGCCGGCGAAACGTCGCCGGCGAAACGTCGCCGGCGAAACGTCGCCGGCGAAACGTCGCCGGCGAAACGTCGCCGGCGAAACGTCGCCGGCGAAACGTCGCCGGCGAAACGTCGCCGGCGAGAGCACTCCGGCCTTCTCCTCCTATTGGCTCCCCCCCCCCCCCCCCCCCCCCGGCCTCCACCACAAGCGGGCAGGGCTCGCCGAACCGGTACAGCCGGCTGCCGCGACGTAGTCGTCACTCACCGACCCACCCCTGCGACTCGCTCACCGCCGCCACCACCGCCGCCGCCTTGCATCGTCTCGGCAACTTTTTATCGAGTTACTTTTACTTGCGAGTCGTGCGTTGTGTGATTGTGTGCGTGATTGTGTGTGCGGTGTGTGTGGTGTGCTGTGCGCGGTGTGCAGTTTGTGTGTGCGGTGCAGTGCGTGCGTACGGAACGTGTGCAGCGTCTGCGGTGCGTGTGCGCGGTTCCTGAGCGGTGCGTGCCGTACATGTGGTGTGTGCGTGCGGTGCGCGTGTGGCCTTACCGCTTGTTTTCTCATCATCGGCAACGAAATCAGACAGCCCCAAAAAAACATTGACGCCGCGCCTGGACAGTCTCACGCGATCATCATCAGCGTCGCCATCATCATCAGCGTCGTCGTCGTCGTCGTCGGGGAGTTTGTCGTTCGGCGTTGGGTTATTGGCCAACCCCTGGGGCGGAGCGGTCGCTCCAATGGCCTTGGAAAATGTGGCCAGGTTTTTCCGCCAAATCGTGAGTACCTTGCCCGAGGAGACGGCCGCCGCCGCCTCCTCCGCCTCCTCCTCCGCCTCCTCCGCCTCCTCGTCCTCTTCCACCTCCTTCATTTTCGTCTCCCGTGATTCCTCGCCGCCTCGCCCGCCCGCCACCGCCTCGGCGCGTGCGCTCGCGCGCCGCCGTGGAGCGTCCGCCAGGCGGTGCGTCCGTCGGGACGCACCGCCGCAGGCCGCTTGCGTCGCGTGCACCGCACCGACCCGTCGAGACGTCGTCCGGCGAGAGACGACGGGGACGCTGCCCCGATGCCACCGGCGGCGGCGGCGGCGGCGCAGCGTCCAGATTCTTTGACGGGTTTTGTAAACAAAGAAAAAAACGCCACCCGCTTATTCCTCGATTGGGGATTGTACATGGTGGCAAATCATCGCCACCACCCCCCCCCCCCGCCGCCTTTACTGACAGACTCGTGGCCCCTCTCGCGGTCCACGTGCTGAGGAGGCCACCTCGCCTTCATTTCGCTCGCTCAGGAACGCCTCGCCGAGTCTCAAGACTCTTCTAAGGGGGGGGGGGGGGGGGGGGGGGGGGGGGGGGGGGGGGGGGGGGGGGGGGGAGCAGCCGAGTCTGCATTAACCACTCGTACTTGTGGTGAACCACACGTACACACGGACTGTGTACGTGTGCTTTATGCAGCACTTGATTCCTTGCAAAAAGTTTATATTTGGTGTTTGAACATCTTAACACCTGTTTTATTGGCAGAAAGGGTAAAAAACCTTTTATTAATTTTTCATTTTAAATGTAGGACAATCATTTACGTGCAGGGGGGCTTGGGTTTTAAGAAAGATGCCTTCTTCAAGCAATAACAGTTTGACGTGTGTTTGTTCTTGGGTTCAGGGCTCAAACCAGCGAGGAACGTAGTGCAGGTGTGAACCTGGGGGAGGTGAGGGCAGTGGTCGTTGAGACCCGGAATCAAACCCAGCAACTCAGCCGTGCTGGCTCAGTGGCTCCGGGATGGCCATTAAGAACCCAGTGGGAGAGGAGATAATATATATGGAATAAATAGAGAGGAGATAATAAATATGAAATAAATAGAGAGAGAGGAGATAATATATATGAAATAAAGAGAGGAGATAATATATATGAAATAAAGAGAGAGAGGAGATAATATATATGAAATAAAGAGAGATAATATATATGAAATTAAGAGAGAGGAGATAATATATATCAAATAAAGAGAGATAATATATATGAAATTAAGAGAGAGAGGAGATAATATATATGAAATAAAGAGAGAGAGGAGATAATATGTATGAAATAAAGAGTGAGAGATGAGATAATATATATGAAATAAAGAGAGAGAGGAGATAATATATATGAAATAGAGAGAGTTAATATATATGAAATTAAAAGAGCGAGAGAGAGAGATAATCAAAACGCAGGAATGTAAACCCTGGGAACCTCCGTCAATGCCGCGCCCTCTGAATGTGACACCGCTGTTAGGACGGCCCTCGTGAGAGAGGGGCGAGGGAAACTCGCGGGGGCCCTCCGCACCCGGCATCTCGGTGGCTCCGGCACGTCCATCACGAGCCCCTTGGGACAACAGAGAGACACCCGGCACCACGTGTGCGTACGTACGCATGCTGAACTTCTTTTGCACCGTACGTAGTGGGGAAGGACATCAAACTAAACACAGGAAGCAAAGATACATTACTTTTCAACCTAGATGACGATTTAAAAGTGCAAAGCTCCAAGCGGCTTTATCACCTTTGAGCGGCCGTCTGGAACGCTCTTCCTTCCGATGTTAGGAAGCCATTGGAGCTGCGCGCTTTTAAATCATCATCTCGATCGACAAACTCATTTCTTTGAAATTGCTTTTTTTGTGTTGAGTTTGTTGTCCCTCCTGCGCACCTCCCGATTCAGCACGGTTGGCTACGTACAGTGCGAAAGAAGTCCAGCACACACGCAAAAGCGGCTTTCCAGACGGCCGCAGAAGTGCCCCTGAAAGCGCGCGACACGGTGACCGTGTCTGTTCGATGGCCGAGCCAGGAGCCGCCTCCGTTGCATCTGCGAGGGCGACCGGAGTTCGCGTGACGGTCTGCACTCGGTTGACATCGGGTTTGTCATCAGCGCTGGCCTGCGTGAATCCGACACGGCCGTCGTGAGTCCAGGGACACTCGGTCCCCCGGGGCTTTGCACACAGGGTCTCAGCTGGCTACGGCCCGCACCCCCCGATCAGGGCCGTTTGGCTACGTGCGCGGCGAGGAAAGAAGTTAAACGTACGCACGGCGACTCCCACACGCGGCGATTGCGGGACCGGCATCAGGGCGACGAGGAATGAGCGGGAGGTGCAAAAAAAAAAGACAAAGGATCCCCCGCGTAGCCTAAACACGTGGCAGGACGTGCGAGCAAATTGTTGCCCCATGTGTGTGTGTGTGGATAATAGGCCACTTGAAGGGGCATATCTTAAGCAGTTCTGTGACATTCGCTTCCACGGGCTGTTTCTCTCGGCGCACGGAGCCGGAAACTTCCATCTCGCGCCACAGATAGCAGAATCAGATTAAACTTTAAAAAAAAACTCAACCAAATATATAAAAAAACGAAATACACAAACACAAGTAGCTCTCTATTTGATTTCACGCTGCTCCCGATGAAAGCTAAAGATGGAAACGTATTCGTTGCATCACACCAACGGAATAATGAAATATATATACAAAGGCGAAGATCGCCCCGTATAGCCTTAACACACTGTTGGGGCAAGTGCTTTTTGCGAGCACATATGGAGACCGGGGGTGGGTGGCCAACACCACGCCGGGCCGCCTTTGTCTCTTCCCAGTGGCGATGGGAAGAGACACGCACCGCACCAGGTACTCATTTTAGGCTGAGTCGACCTAGGGGAGGCACAGGACCCGTTCAGATAATCGTCACCGGTGTTGGCCGTGAGCGGGAGTCGAACTCGGATCGCCGGGGGTTCGCAGCAGCAGCAGAGCGCACTAACCGCTACTCCGCCCGCTCCCCGCAGGAGACACGCACGCAACTCGGAATCTGTGAGAAAACATCGTCATCTGCTGGGGCCGGCTCTGTGACTCACAGACAGTGGCCATTGTGAGCCCGGCCCACCCCAACCGGTGTGGTTGGGCACTGCCCCACCGGTGGCGACGTTCCCCCCCCCCCCTCCCTCATTGTTGTCATCGTCGTCGTCCTGTCGAGCACGCCGTTTGACCGGCGAGGCCGGTTCCGTGCCGTCTTCACGGTCCCCGCCTCTCCTTTGTTGTCCCGCCGGCTATGGTTTCTCGCGCGCACGTGCGCGTTGTGCGTGTGTCTTTGGGGAGCGGTGTCGGCCACCCGCCCCCCTCGTGTGCTGTGCCTGCCTTGATAGGTGCTGCTCGCTAGAAGCACTTTCCCCAGCAATCTGTGAAGGCTATGGGGGGGGGGTCTTTGTTTTGTGTGTGTGTGTGTTGGGAGCGGCAGTGGAGCGGTTAGCGCGCTGCACTACGAACCCTGCGACTCGGGTTCCATTCCCGCTCGTGGCCAACACCATTGACTATTATCTGAACCGGTACCGGGCCTCCCCTAGGTCGACTCGGCCTCAATTGAGTACCCGGTGCAATTTTTTAAACATCGCCACTGGAGAGACAAAGGCGGCCGGGCGTGGTGCTGGCCGCTCACCCCTGTCGTGCGCCATTTCGGCCTTCACAGGTGCTGCTCGCTAACAGCACTTGCCCCTGCAGTCTGGGGGATCTTTGTCTTTGCCCGAGGCTGGACCGCACAGCGGCAAAACCGCGCGCGTGTGTGACACGCAGCGGTGCATGCCGCGCTGTGGTAGCCTTGTGCCACACAGGTGCAGCTGACTACTGGGCTTGGGAAAAGTGTTGGGCAGCGCCGGATCTGGCTGCCTTCCCGTTCGTCCGTTGTACAAATCGGTTGCTGGCACCCGGACACAGACGTCAATCGTCGGACTGTTCGGCCTTATCCGAAATGGTGGCGATCCTAGTGGGTGGGTGGGTGAGTGGTAAGTGGGTGGTGGGTGGGTGGTGGGTGGGTGGGTGAGTGGTGGGTGGGTGAGTAGGTGGGTGGGTGAGTGGGTGGTGGGTGGGTGAGTAGGTGGGTGGGTGAGTGGGTGGTGGGTGGGTGGGTGGATGAGTAGGTGGGTGAGTGGTGGGTGGGTGGGTGAATGGGTGAGTAGGTGGGTGGGTGAGTAGGTGGGTGGGTGAGTGAGTGGTGGGTGGGTGAGTGGGTGAGTAGGTGGGTGGGTGGTGGGTGGGTGGGTGAGTGGTGGGTGGGTGAATGGGTGAGTGGGTGGGTGAATGGGTGAGTAGGTGGGTGGGTGGGTGAGTGAGTGGTGGGTGGGTGAATGGTGGGTGGGTGAGCGAGTGGGTGGTAGGGATTCCACTTCTTCCGCAGACCAAAACTCGGAGAGGTTTTTCAGTCAGCACTCGACCTGTGCAGTTCACTGCCATGGGGAAAAAAAGTTCAATGCTATACCACAAGATCTTGGAACAAATGAATTCCTGTCAACCAAAACACAGATGCCAATTCAAACCTGTTGTACAGGTGTGTGGGTGAGTGAGTGGGTGAGTGAGTGACTGATGGGCTGGACCGGTGCCAACCATAGTGGGTGGGTGGGTCAGCGAGTGATCAGGTGGATAGGTGGCAACCCTTGTCAGGGGTCAGAAGTTTAAATATGAGAGCTTAGTTTGCACTAAATTCATGGCAGCCGCTTCTAACAGAACTAACGCTCAAACCTCACGGACGCCGCTCACCTCACACAGAGACCCATGCACTCACACGGAGACCACCCATAGACTCACACGGAGGCCCATAGAATCACACGGAGATCCATAAACTAACATCGAGACCAATAGACTCACATAAAGATCCATAGACTCACACGGAGATCTATAGACTCACATAGAAACCCATATCGTCACACAGAGACCCATAGTCTCACACGAAGACCCATAGACTCACACGAAGATCCATAAACTTACAACGAGACCGATAGACTCTCATAGAGACCCAAAGACTCACACAGAGACCCATAGACTCACATGGAGACCCACAGACTCACATGGAGACCCACAGACCCGCATGTAGACCCGCAGACTCACGTAGAGATCCATAGGTCTCACATAGACATCCATATATTCACACGGAGACCCAAAGACTCCCATGGAGATGCATAGACTGACATTGAGACCGACATAGAGACCCAGACTCTACCACGCGGCAACGTGTGGGGGTTTTCCCTTCGATTGGCTAAATCCCAGGCGGCAATGCGAGGTAACAGCGGCGTTAGAGGTCAGAGTTGGTTAACTCTGACCTCTAACCTCTTCACCCTCACCTTACGACGACGACGACAGTCGCCCCCCTCTGCTTCGACAATCGCTCAGCGCCCCTTACCCCCACACCCCTCGTCCTCCTCGCCCCCCCCAACCCAATCCCCGCTTGTCACCACCACCACCGCCGTTACGCCCCGTGCCGTTCCCCCCGGTCCGTGGTCGATGCAGTCTCTGCCGCCCGTCGGTTCGACGCTTGCACGTTTTGACCGCCCCGTCCGTGCCCCCCCCCCCCCGCCCCCCCCCCCCGCCCCCGCCCCCCCCCCCCCCGCGCCGTGCCCCTTCGCTGCGTGATTTTTCATTTGCCGTGCGTGTGTTTTCTCTCTCCCGCTCGCAGTCTCGCGATCTCTTTGAGATGATAGAGAAGATGCAGGTATGGTCCCCGCGCCGCTTCATCCCCCGCCTCGATTTTGTCCACTTTGCTTCGGGTACACGCGTTGCCCACCGTTTTGTTTCGGATTCGAATGGAACCGTAATACTTTTCCTTTGTTAACGGGCGGTCCTACGGTTTTACGACGGTCCGATTAATGACGAGCCGCTCCTTTTCGACGTTTATATCGACGAAACTATTTTTTTTTATTTTATTTGCCCAGGTTAAGGCCGCACTGAGCTACGCAGGCTCTTTGCTTAGAAGCGACCTGGCAACCACGAACGATAGCAGCCCCACGGAGTGGGCTCGCCATTGCGTGGACATTCGTAGCAGCGGCCGAATGCTCTCCGAAATAACGCCCACCGCGACGCAGATTCGCGAACGCGACTCCGGAACGCATTTGGACAGAGTCGGGTCCTTGGCGTGGAACTTTTTTCGCAATTATCCTCGAGTGTTTTTTTTTGTTTTGTCGCGGGTTGATTTTCACCGATCGAACCGCCCGCTAAGTACGGCCGATGTAAAGGGGGGGGGGAAAAACCGCATCGTTGGCAGGCGATGTCTCTACCGCTCCGGCTGCTTATGGTAAAAACAACGAAAAGAAACGGGGGTCCGGTTTTGACGTCGGTGGTGTCCAGGAACGCGCCGCGACGTTGTGGAGCCGGGGACTGCCTGCGTTCGTTTTTACTTTTTGGTATTCGTCAGCGATGTGGGAGACCTGCCGAGTGGCTAACTGCCGGTCCGTCCCCATGCACCAACTAACTAATGACGATCTCTTTTTTTTATTTGTGTTATTATTGTTCGCAATTTTTGTTGTTATTTTATTATTTGCATATATTATTGTGCTTTTTTTAACCCAGGGTAATGTCCACTGAGCGATAACAGGTATTTTTCAGAAGCGACCTGGCCATGACAAATAGATAGCTCAACGACGAGGCTTAGCATCATCGCGTGGAAATTTATAGCAGCAGGCAAAACACTCAATCAACACGCGATGTTTGTTGATTCTAAATGCGGAGGGGACACAAAAAAGCGGAGGACTCGGAGGAAAATCCGCGCGACCATGGAGAGAGAGAGACACACAAACTCCAAATATACAGCAGCAGCAGCAGGCGTCAGGGTCGGGATCGAACCCACGACCTCCTGCATACCAGGCGAGGTTGTTAACATCTCTTAAGCACCGTGATGATGATGAGAGAGAGACACGCAAACTCCAAATATACAGCAGCAGGCGTCAGGGTCGGGATCGAACCCACGACCTCCTGCATACCAGGCGAGGTTGTTAACATCTCTTAAGCACCGTGATGATGATGAGAGAGAGAGACACGCAAACTCCAAATATACAGCATCAGCAGGCGTCAGGGTCGGGATCGAACCCACGACCTCCTGCACACCAGGCGAGGTAGCCACCACGGCGCTCCTGACATCCTTGGCAGGAACCATCCTGTAAAATAGTCGAGACTCCTTGAGCATTTCCAGGGCAGACAAGCGAAGTGATGGTAAAGATGAAGAAATGAGAAGTAATGATATCCTTGCTAGCTCACAGAGACTCCCACCTGCAGCCCCAGGCCTGTGATGATAGGCCTGAGACCTGAGGCCTGCGACCCGACCAGGTTCAATCATCCAGGGGTCACGGTGGTCCTGCAACTGTGGAGAGCCAAGGGGAGTTCACATCCCTGGCCAGTTGTTCAAAGTTCACAATCCCACTACCCGCCATCGTCAATTCACTGCTGTGTGATGATGGTGTGTGTGTGTGTATGATGAGGTGGTGAGCGGAGGTGTAGCGGTTAGCGCTATGCTGCGCTACGAACCTGGCGACCCGGGTTCGATTCCCACTCACGGCCGACACCAGTGACGATTATCTGAACTGGTCCTGGGCCTCCCCTAGGTCGACTCGGCCTCAAATAAGTACCTGGTGCAGTGTGTAGTAAACATCGCCACTGGGGAGACAAAAGCGGTCGGGCGTGGTTTTGGCCACCCACCCCCTGAAGTGCCGTGCCGACCTTCATAGGTGCTCGCTAACAGCACTTGCCTCAACAGACTGTTAAAGCAATACGGGTGATCTTTGTCTCTGTGTGCGATGATGTGTGTGTGTGACAATGATGGTGTGTGTGTCACGCAGTGTGCTGTGCGATGTTTGTGATGTATGGTGTGTGACGATGATGTTTGTGATGATGTGTGTTCTGTGTGACTGTGCTGGGCGATGACGACGATGACGACGTGACGACTTGAGTCCTCTGTCACTGTGTGCTGTGCGATGACGATGACGACGACGATGACGACGACGACTGCGGCTGACCACGTGTGTTGGTATTCCACAGGGCAACAGGATAGATGACCAAAGGTGCCCCATGCCCAAGCCCAGGGTGAGTACCGAGCATCGGTCTCCGCCCTCTATCACCACCACCACCAGATCCACAACCCCCTCGTGCACACCGCAACAACCACAGATCCAGGTGGGAGGGTGGGGGCGATGGGGGCAGAGCCACCACCACCCCCACCCACACACCTGAAGAGCCTCAACAATGAGTATATTTATATTCTTTGGTTCTTTCGGTAAAGTCACGTCGATAGATAAAAACAAAGTGAATCAAAATAATTAAAAAAAAAAACCCCGAAGAATACGAATTCCTGCAGTCGCGAAAGTTCTAAGTGAAACTGTAACGAGTATATTTAACACGAAGGAGGCTTTCACGACCGCCGTTCCGGTTCGCAGCGCGCCCTGCCACGCGAACCCTCGCCACGCGACACGGCCGGCGAAGTCAAAACGGTGACGGCGTGACGGACGCCGCCGGTTTGTTGCCGCGTCGCCAGCGGCAGTGCCGCCGGGGGGGGGGTGGGGGGGGCGGGGTGCTCACGGAACACTCACCCTGACCGCCCGCTCCACGCTTGCACACCTCTCTCCTCTCTCCTCCACCCTCCTCCTCCTCCCATCCCCTGTCGTTGCAGTCGGAGGATGACTACATCCCCTACCCCAGCGTCCACGAGGTACGCCGCTCGCGGGGCGTCCAGGCACTCCGTGGGGGGTTGCGGAGTCGCTTCGCGGTTCGGATCCGGTGGGCCTAACCCGGGGGTCGCCCCGGGTTGGCGAGATGTTAACTACCTCGCCCGGTGTACAGGAGGTCGTTCGTGGGTTTCGATGCCGACCCTAACGCCTGCTGGGTATTTGGAGTCCCCCTCTCTCTCTCTCTCTCTCCCCGTGGTCGCGTGGATTTTTTCCACCGGGTCATCCGGTTTTGCCCCCTCATTTAGAATCAACGTCAACGTGCGTTTAGAGAGCAAATTGGCTCCTGCTATTACATTTCCACACGATGATTATGACGATAAGCCGCTTTCGTTGAGCTTTCATCACGTGTGATGGCCAGGTCGCTTCTGAAAAAAATCCATTACAGCTCAGTGGGAGCCTTACCTGGTAAAATAAAAATAAAAATTGTAGTTTAGTTTTTTATTGTCGTGGGAGTATTTCACCGACGGTGGTAGGAGGAGCGAGGATGCAGCTGCCAAGCGCCGCTCCGCGAGCAGGGGGGGACGTTGGAGGTGGCCGCGACGGCGTGGGCAAGAGTGGGGCCCCCTGCGTGCCGTCGCGCCAATCCGAATTTTGGCGAAATAACAACACGACGACGAAAAACAAAATAATTGTCACGAAACGACACCGCGGGTTACTCGATCGGGATTACGCATGGCAACGTCGCTCCTTCCCTCCCTCCCTTTCTTCCTTCTCCACCACCAGCCCTCCTTCGCTACCCCCCCCCACCACTCCCACATCTGCGAAAACTCGGCAAGAAGCCTCCTGATAAACGAGCCACGAGACTTCTCGTGGACAAACACACACACACAAAGCCTCATCATAAAATCGCAGTCATCATAGCAATGACGATTGCGCAAAACCACGCGACGCCTGTTCGCCTAAACCACGCCACCAACCGACCTTCTGGATCACGGCAGCAGCGGCAGCCTCACCCCACGCACGCCACAAAACACAAATGAAGGCGAGGCTGATGGAAGCGAGAGTCCGGGCTGCGTCCGACGTTAAAAAAAAAAACGTCACCCGGGGGGGCGGGAGACCCCCTACCGTCGAATCTACCCGGTTTGAACGTTCCACGCCGCCAATGATCGACCATCAACCGAATCGGGAGCGGCGGTGCGGGCGGGCGGGGGGGGGAGATTCGGTCGATGGTCGACCATCAACCGAATCCCTCGACCGGCATCGTCAAACACCGTGCGGTTGCCGCCGCTGTTTGCCGCGGCCGCTGCCTTCGCTCCCTTTAAAGGGACGAATGGGCTTGATCCGCTCTGCCCCTGAAGCGGGCGATTGGCGTGGCTCATCTGAAATGACATCTTTTGATCTCTTCTCATTGAATCCCGTACGAGAGCATGTCGCAATGACAAAGCGGCGAACACGCCCGCGCGTTCGTTGCCGGCGCCGTCGGCGCGGCGCGGGGGCAGCGCCGACGGCGTTGTGGCCTAGCGCCGTGGCTCGGCTCCTGCAGAACTGGTCAGTGGTTAGGAGGCGAACGTGAGCGGGCGAGCGGGCGGGCGGGCGGGCGGGCGGGTGAGCGAGGGAGCGGTTGTGTGAGCAGGTAAGTGGGTGAGCCAGCGGGTGATTGGGTGAGCAGGTGAGTGAGTCAGCGGGTGGGTGAGTGTGTGAGCGGGTGAGCATGTAAGCGAGGGAGTGATTGAGTGGATTAGTCGGCGAGTGAGTGGGTGAGCGCATGAGCGAGGCGACGAGTTAGTGGGTGAGGGAGTGAGCGATTGAGCGCTTGAGTGAGTCCATGAGTGAGCGGGTGAGCGAGCGAGCGAGTGGATGGGTGAGCAGGTGAGTGAATGAGCCGGTGGGTGAGTGGGTAGAGGAGTAGATGGGCTGAACACGGCAAAACTGTGCGGGACCCTATTCTCAGTGCACCCCGCGTTTGGGGGAGGCTGCGAGAGCCAGGTTTTTTGTTTCCCCCCGTGTCACGACTCTGGGCTCACGTCTCGCACACGCCGGGGGGAGGGGGGTGGGGGGAAGAGCGATCGGGGATGATGAAAAGGGGCCAAGCCTCTTCATTTATTCAGCGGGCACGCTATTGGGCGTGCGCCTAATTGGAAGCTGGGATTGGCCGCTGTGCCCGCTAGCCGCTCTCGCTCCCCACGTGTTCATGAGCGGAGGAGGAGGAGGAGGAGCACGCGTGATTGCTTCGTCGTGTTTACCCGGGGAACGCATTCACACGCACGTGTGCACGCACACTCGCACGCACACTCGCACGCACACACGCACGCACGCGTATGCATGCACACACACGGACGTACGCACACACTCGCATGCACAAAGACAAAGATTCCTCATATAGCCTTAACCGACTGTTGGGGCAAGTACTGTTAGCGAGCATTTATGAAGGCTGGGACGGCACACGAGGGGGTGGGTGGCCAGCACCACGCCCGACCACCTTTGTCTCCCCAGCGGCGATGTTTGCACACCCCCCCCAGATACTCGTTTGAGGCTGAGTCGACCTAGGGGAGGCCCAGGACCGGTTCAGATAATCGTCACCGGTGGTGTTGGTGGCCGCGAGCGGGAATCGAACCCGGGGTTACTGAGTTCGTAGCCCAGCGTGCTACCCGCTACACTACCCCACACACACAGACACACGCGCACGCCGTGTGACCGTGCACGTGTGTGTGTGTGTGTGTCCCAGGTGCTGCAGCGGGAGCCGCCCTACCCGTCCGTGATACTTCCCCAATTCGGGGGCTACTGGATCGAGGGGGCGGAGCGGCGGGGGAGCCAGACCCCCGAGGGGGAGGGGCCGCCCACAACCCCCGCCCCCTCGCCGGACTCCGCCCCCTCCCCCGTGGACCCCCTCTCCATCGAGAGCCACCGCACGGCCCACCTCTACCGGCAGCACTTCCTCGGGCAGGTGAGACCTGGCGGGGGGAGGGGGGGGGGGGCATGGGGCGAGGAGTGGATTCTAAAATGTGGAGGGACCTCGGGGAGTAAGAGAGAGAGAGAGAGACGCACGGAAACTCCAAATATACAGCAGGCATCGTCAGGGTCGGGATCGAACCCAAGGCCTCCTGCATACCGGGCGAGGTTGTTAACATTTCCTAGCCACCGTGGCGTCTGTATGGGGTCGAAGGGCCCATTGCCTGAAAAGTCGCCTGTTACGTGCACAGGCAGAGACCTCGCTGTGCACTCGAGATGCGTTCCTGGAGAAGCGAGCGCTAACGGAATCGGCACTAGAAGGGGGTCACCACAGCATCGCATGCATGGGGATGCGTTCCTGGCGGCGTCTGATAGGCTCGGAGCCGTGCTTCGCTCTCATTGGCTGAGCGAATGATGGGAGTGGGGCACGTTTGCCCGGCCGGCGCTGCTGTGCGGCGTTCTCACTCGCAAGCGCTCTGTAGAATTATCGTTTTTTTCTTTCATTATTTGTTGGTTGTTGTTGTTGTTGTAATCGGCTACGAGCCCGGCAGAGAACCGAGTTCGATTCCCGCTCACGGTCAACACCGGCGACGGTTATCTGATCTGGTCCTGGGCCTCCGCTCGGTCCACTCAGCCTCGAATGAGTACCTGGTGCGGCGTTTAATCATCGCCACTGGGGAGGCAAAAGCGACTATCTTTGATCTTTGTGACCGTTAAGGCCACACACTCACACAGTTGTCGTTGTTGTTGTTGCCATTGACGACGCCGTTGAGTGTTGTCGTTGTAACCATCGTCGGCTATCGCATCGTCGTCCGCACCAGGAGCACTTCAACTACTACGCTGTGGACCCCGCGCTGGGCATCATCATCTTCTCCGTAAAGCACGAGGTGGTGTCGGAGCAGGAGCACCTCCGCATGATCCTCCGGTAACGCGCCCGCAACCCGGCGCCTCCCGATGATTCCAACCCCCGCCTCCCGTGCCAGCGTTGGCCCAGCATTGGCCCAGCATTGGCCCAGCGTTGGCCCAGCATTGGCCCAGCTTTGGCCCCGCGTTGGCCCAGCGTTGGCCCAGCGTTGGCCCAGCGTTGGCCCAGCGTTGGCCCTGCGTTGGCCCAGCGTTGGCCCTGCGTTGGCCCTGCGTTGGCCCTGCGTTGGCCCAGCGTTGGCCCTGCGTTGGCCCATCGTTGGCCCAGCGTTGGCCCAGCGTTGGCCCAGCGTGGTGGTCATAACCGTCGGCCCGACCTTTGCGTCAAAGTACGCGCAAAAAACCGCAAGATGCACAAGCGCTACGTGCCTGCACAATGTTATGTTGATTACCCTATGAATAACCCAACCGGTAATGAATATCCATTGTAATTTATATGCATACCTCAAATCCTCGCACGTGATTGGCTCACAAGTGACGACGTCACAGCCAACCCCTATCCATTTACGAACGAAACAGGGGGAGGGTTTCTCCGCGACTCTTTGGCTGTCGCCTGATGATGCTGCTGCTGCTGCTGCAGGTGGTGGTTGTTGTTGTTGTAATTTCAGGCGAAACGTCACCAGGTATTGTAAATGTTGTCGTGCGTTCACTCTCCAACACACAACCGGTTAGCGCTGCACGAGTCACGAACTGGCCGCGTTTTGTTTACGTGACAAATCCTTACCAATTGGCCGTGTCGGGTAGCAGCGGGTTTAACGACACATTTATACATTCACGTGACCTGCCCACAACAAAAAAAAAACCCCTCTCTTGTGGGTAACGCCCATAGCCCCGCAGCGACAAGACGCCTGAGTTCAATTCCCTGTCTCCGGAGCCCTTTCTGTGTGCAGGTTTCGTACTTTCTCCCACCCCCCCCCCCTCCCCCCCCCCCCCCATTCTGCACGGGTTTCCTCTGGTTTTCCTCCCCGAGCTGAAGGAAGGAAAATAAAACAAAACCCCGTACAGGGCAACTGGCGCTGCTTGCTGGCCCTTAAAAGATGCCCACGCGCTGAGCAAATTGCACCGGCAAATTACTCAACTGGGATCACTTCACCGCAGGAGCAACATTGCCCCTCTACCTCGATAACTTGGGCGACACACGGTGACTAGGAGATGTTAACTACCTCACCTGTTATACAGGAGGTCGCGGGTTCGATCCAAACCCCGACACCTGTATATTTGGAGTTTGCGTGTCTCTCTCCGTGGTCGCGTGTTTTTTTTCTCCACGTCCTCTGGTTTTCCCTCCACATTTAGAATCAACTTGTGTTTCGGAGTATTTGGCTGCTATACATTTCCACGCGATAAGCCACTTCGTTGAGCTATCATTTTGGGCCAGGTCACTTCTTAAAAAGAGCTACCCAGCTCGGTGGGGCCTTACCCTGGTAAAAAATAAAATGAAAATCATTATGAGACCTCCTTTGCCAGTAGCAAGATATAGTAATAGGTTTTTACTCTTTTATCTGGCACCAAAACTGACACCTTTATACAAGGGATCGTGCTTGCAATAACCACAACACAAGCAGTCAAAATGCAAAGAAAAAGAGACAACTCTGATAATGATATGCACTGTCCTTGAAGTTGATTGGTCCACACCCGAGACGGCTTTTCTTAGAGCCTAGTCTCCACTGGTGTTGGACCAGTCAATTTCAAGGACAGTGCATATCATTATCAGAGTTGTCTCTTTTTGTTTGCATTTTGACTGCTTGTGTTGTGGTTATTGCAAACATGATCCCTTGTATAAAGGTGTCAGTTTTAGGTGCCAGATAAAAAACCTATTACTATAAAAAATAAAACGTTTAGTTTTAACTTGGCAGGACCCTCTTGAAAATGAGTCTTGAGACTCGGTGACGCTTTCCCCGGGTAAACGATCGGAAAAATAATAACGCTCATAATGACGATCATGAAATAATTGTAAGTTCACACCTGAATTGAGGATTGAACTGTGGAGGCGTTCAGCTTCGTGAGTCAAGGGCGCTCTTCCGGCCGTTTTTATTTTGAGACGAGATCTGACGTCAAGGCGCCATTGTTCCACGAGCGTCTGTGGGCACCAGCCTCCGCCTGCGAGTGATGCTAAGTCTCTGCAGCGCAATGGCTGCAATTACCTCCCCTTAATTATATATTTTGCCGAGCACAATAGTGTGAGTTTTGCACGAGGTTTGCTGCTGCAGCTGTGCCTGCGTGCGTGTGTCTGTGTGCCTGCGTGCGTGTGTCTGTGTGCCTGCGTGCGTCTGTCTGTGTTTGAATGCGTGTGGGGAGCGGTGGGGCAGCGGTTAGCGCTACGCCGCGCTACGAACCCGGCAGGGACCCAAGTTCGATTCCCGTTCACGGCCAACGTCGGCGACGATTATCTGGACCGGTCCTGGGCTTCCCCTAGGTCGACTCAGCCTTAAAACGAGTACCCGGTGCGCTGTGTAAACATCGCCACTGGGGAGGCAAAGGCGGCCGGGCGTGGTGCTGACCACCCACCCCCTCGCGTGCCGTGCCGGCGCTCGCTAACAGCACTTGGCCCCAACAGTCCGCTAAGGCTCCACGGCGGATCTTTTGTCTCTTTCACGTCTCCCCCTCGTCGCCAAGGACGAAGGCGAGGACGTGCTACGACCTCATCCCCATCTCGTGCCTCACCGAGTTCCCCAACGTCGTCCAGATGGCGAAGGTGAGGCGCGGTGCAACGTCGCTCTCCGTGAGCCACGTAACGGGGGACGGAGGGGCGGGAGGGGGGGGGTTGGAGGGGGGGAGGGGTCTGTGGGGTAGGATGGGATGGGGGATTTTCTTGGGTCAGGAGTCGGCAATGGAAGTAGCAAGAGGAGCCGGCGGTCCTCAATAAATGGCGCCACGAAGCGGCCCTTGAAGAGCGGCCAACACCGGCGGCGGTTGTCTGAACCGCTCTTGGGCCTCCCCTAGGTGGACTCGGCCTCAAATGAGTACCCGGTGCGGTGTGTAAACATCGCCACTGGGGAGACAAAGGCGTACAGGCGTGGTGTTGGCCACCCACCCCCGGCCTCCTTAGGTGCTCGCTAGCAGCACTTGCCCCAACAGTGTGTTAAGGCTATACGGGGCGATCTTCGCCTTTGTATATATATTTTTTTCATTATTCCGTTGGTGTGATGCAACGAATACGTTTCCATCTTTAGCTCTCATCGGGAGCAGCGTGAAATCAAATAGAGAGCTACTTGTGTTTGTGTATTTCGTTTTTTATATGTTTGGTTGAGTTTTTTTAAGTTTAATCTGATTCTGCTATCTGTGGCGCGAGATGGAAGTTTCCGGCTCCGTGCGCTGAGAGAAACAGCCCGTGGAAGCGAATGTCACAGAGCTGCTTTTGAGATGACCCTTCAAGTGGCCTCTTATCCACACACACACATGGGCCAACAATTTGCTCACACGTCCTGCCAAGTGTTTTCAAATTGCCAGGAGAACCGATATTTCTTTTTTACGAAGCATGTATTTTGACAAATGTAAGTGAAGACAAATTTCGCGTGCATCACGGTTTGAGTCCATGCATGTTATATGTTGAACTCCTTTCGCGCCAAACGTAACCAACCATGCTAATCGGAGTCCATGGGTCTTTATCTGAATATATGGGTCTCTATGAATCTATGGGTCTCTATGTGAATCCATGGGTCTCTGTGTGAATATATGGGTCTCTATTGTGTGAGTCTATGGGTCTCTATGTGAATCCATGGGTCTCTGTGTTAATCTATGGGTCTCTGTGAATATCTTGATCTCTGTGAGTCTATGGGTCTCTATGTGAATCCCCGGGTCTCTGTGTAAATCTATGGATCTCTGTGAATCTATGGGTCTCTGAATCTATGGGTCTCTATGTGAATCTATGGATCTCAATATTCATCTACTGGTCTCTGTGTGAGTCTATGGGGTCTCTCTGTGAGTCTACGCGTCTCTGTGTAAATCTATCGATCTCTGTGAATCTATGGGTCTCTGAATCTATGGGTCTCTATGTGAATCTATGGATCTCAATATTCATCTATGGGTCTCTGTGTGAGTCTATGGGGTCTCTCTGTGAGTCTACGCGTCTCTGTGTGAGTCGTTGGTGAATTGGCATCTCAGACCTCTCAGCCCCTCCTCCCTCCCTCCCTCCCTCCCTCCCTCCCCTCCCTCCCTCCCTCCCTCCCTCCCTCCCTCCCTCCCTCCCTCCCTCCCTCCCTCCCTCCCTCCCTCCCTCCCTCCCTCCCTCCCTCCCTCCCTCCCTCCCTCCCTCCCTCCCTCCCTCCCTCCCTCCCTCCCTCCCTCCCTCCCATGATGATGGTCAGGTGCGTTCGCTCTCTTCCCGTGAAGCGTCCAGCGTTGTGCGTCCGTGCCCCGTGGAAATGCAGAGCGTGGATGTTTGTGTGTGGGGGGTGACTGGGTCCCGGTGAGAGCGATGGGCGACCTGACCCCTG